AATCTCCTCTGATTCATAGGCTAGAATTTATGTAAACATGCACTACTTGATTGTTGTTTACACCACTTGCAGATGGCTGTGCTCAATCTCCTCAATATGATGTAGGCCAAAGGGTATATAAACTACTGAAGCCATGTTTGGAAGCAAATGGTTTATGCAGAATGTTTGATATAACAGCAATATTTTCCAGTATGTTCCATAACACTCCCTGTAGACTTCAATAACTTTAAACAATTCAGAAACCACCAACCATCCCCACAATTGCAGTTACAGCCAGTAAACAGCAATTATAATCTCATCTGAAATGGGTTGGTGATTCATTTAGAAAGCATTGTTATGGTGAAGGTCTAAGCTGCTGTTTAAGACAGGATGATAGCTCAAATATTGAGTTCCAAAATGGCAGCACTATTTGCAAAGCATCCATCTAATTTTACATTCCATCTAATTTCACAATCAACCACTCTGCATAATTCTGGTGGATATTCCTTGCCCATTCACTAATACCAGGCAAAATCAGAAATATATGCTTATGTGAAAAATGTTGTAAGAGATGCCACAGTTGGTACTTGGTAGTGGTAGGATCTTCTTTGGCTAGTTATGTCTCTCCAACACTTCTTCTAATACTAGCACACAAACTTACTAATATTAAGTAGTAAAGGATTAGCCACAATTAAGTCTTTTAGCAGAAAAAACTCAAACTTGAATGACAAAGTAGTTTATTACATAATAGCAAGAAAACAGGTTTTATTACCTGAAGACTCATTCACGACTTGAACAGCAGATAAGGGACATTGTTATTTATTCAGAGGTGGTAACTAGATCTATCCTACATGTAAGCTATAGAACTGACTAACAACAAGCTAGTGTGACTGGCCAGCCCTCCCAGGGATGGTTGTTTATGTGTCAGTGGACCAAGTTATTCCAAAGCTTCTGAGTTAACATTTTGAGGCCAACTGTTTTGTATACAAACATAGACAGGGGAGGCTTAGTGAACCATTGCTGGACTGTTAATCCAGAGACCCAGGTAATGTTCTGGATGTTGTGGGTAAATCACCACAAGTTACCTTTAATTTGGCTACTTATTAAGAAATTTCACAATCAAGTACTGAAACAATGATTTAAACATTATTACATGTAGCAACCGAAAAAGACCCATGAAGTAAGCAAATTAAATCTCACAACTCAACTTGGCTATTAGTCGATTAATAATGGAATTTAGCTACAATTCCAACCAACAGCATCTGTCTCTGGATGAGTCCAAGGTTCAATCCTTGTGTAGTGTTGTTCTTCAAAGTTCGCTGTTGCTGAATTGTTCTGCTGTTGGATTCATACACAGATTTTCATCCTTCAGGTCCATGATGTAATATTATTGATGATTCTTTAGATTATTTCATCCAAAATATTGAAAGTCTGCAGCTTGCCTTCTTATCAGAAGTAGCTTCTTTGTTCCTTGTTACATTTGGCCTTAACTGTCTGTTTGAAGATGTGATTTTCCTGTGATTAACTCCTTAAATTCTTCTGCAGGGCAATCATTTGTCCTTGTAGCATATGGCAGCCATTCATCAAGCAGTTGATAAAACAGTTTTGTTTCTGTAACTTTGACTCCTTCTTTTCCCAGATATGGCTAAATGCTTTCAATTTCTGTACAGGTTTGTCCTCATCCTTTAATAGTTTATTCCAGATGGAGTTATTGCTGCTTCATTGTGTGCAACAGTTTATCTTTGTTGACTCTTTCAGTCCATAAACAGCTATTAAATTTCTGAAGTTTACACTATCACATGGGGACCCAAGTTCAAATTCTGCAATTGTAGATGGAATTTGAAATCAATGCAAAATGAGGGTTAAGAGTCTAATGATGACCATGAGTTTGGAACCCACCCAGATTGTTGGGAAAAACCCATCTGGTTCAATAATGTCCTTTAAGGAAGGAAACTGCCATTCTTACCTGGTCTGGCCTACGTGTGACTCCAGACTCACAGAAGTGTGGTTGACTCTTAACTGCCCTCTGGGCAATTAGGAATGGGCAATAAATGCTGGCCCAGCCAGTAGCGGCCACATCCATGAATTTAAAAAAATCATTTTGGAGGCAAAGCACTATCCATTGCATCAAAGAATCAAGTGATATACATGCAAATTTTCCAACCAACATCTCCAGGTAATGGAATGAAATTTGACTTTCCACCACTGTCATATCCATGCATTTCATATTTCTACATTTTGATATAGTATGTTTTTGATTCAGCTTTGAAGTGAGCTCAAGTTGTCAAGTCAACTTTCAAGATAACAGGACAACATTGACGTGGCCTGAAGAACTGGAATCCAACTTCTGTGGGAACTGACCAGCAGCTTTTAATTAACTAATTTGTTTTCTGTCAGCACAAAATGAATTTACATTCTCAACTTTGTCCCATTTTTCTAATTATGGCTTCGTTGCAATTTCTAGGTGTTTGTCTAAACAAGTCTCCCTCCTGCAAGCTCTTCAACCTGCTTTTTAAAATTTTATTTGCAGCTTTGTAAAATGCTCACCTGCAGAATTTTCAGCTATCAAGTGTTATGATTTGGACATAGTGAACACTATTTCTCTTTGAACCGTTGTACTGGGCTACTGAGAAGTTGACTGTGCTCTTCTTAATCAGGTATCACATGTAATTTGCTTCATGCCTTAAGGCAATTACCCAATTTAGTGGCAAGATTGTTCACTGGAATTTGTATAATATTCTCACTCCAGCTCCTATCAAACTGGAATCAGACGCTATGCATATTATGGAGACTGCATCCTGAGAAAAATGAATTAGATTTAAACCACTTTATGAAAGTGAGGGGGAAAATACCATACTGTAAGAATCCATGAATATTTCTTGTAGCTTTATAAAATGACTTTTGATGGTAGAAAAATTTCATAAGATCAAATATATGAACGTGTTCCTCACCCTTACTGAACAATAAAAATAAGTCATTCTTATGAAATGCTTTTATTGTCGCAACCAATACAAAAATGCTCCACTGAAAGGTAATCAGACAAAATAATGCTGAGCCATGAAAGACACTATTTATAAAGGTGATCAAAAGACATCCTTGAAATTAAAATAAAAGCAGAATTTGACGAAGGTACTCAGCAAGTCAGGTAGCATTTGTGGAAAATGAAATAGTTAACCTTTCAGGTCAGTAACTATACAGTTAAGACAAAGCCTCCCAAGGTACTAAAAGGATGTGGACAGAGAGGCAGAGCATTTGTAGGAGTGGTAGAGTGATAGAGAGAACAGAGGCTATAAATAAATACAAACATAAATATCATATTAAATTGGGAGGACTGGGGAGCCTGGTACTAATTTAAATTGAATAGACTTTGCAATTCAACATATAGAATAGAATAGCATTTTATGGTCACATGTATTTTCACAAAAAATACGGTGAAAAGTTTTAAAAGTTCCAAACCACAGTGTCTAAATTAATGACAGAAAAGAAAGTAAAAGTTCATCACAGTTCAATTAATGACTCCTGGGTTTGGGGTATGCTGGAAAACTGGGCTGAAGTGCCATGCAGGGCTGGATCAAGACTGCCACACTACACCAAGACCACTCCACCATGCCAAGATGAAACCTCCACGCAGGGATTAGACCTCCATCCTGGGCTGCTTGGAGACCTGGAAGTTACCTCCTAAGCAAGGACAAGACTTCCAAGCCATGATGAGACCTCTGCACCAGGACTAGACCTTTAAGCTGGGCTGCTGGAATACTGGAAGCCACCAAAGAAGACCTCCATGCTGGGATGAGATGTCCATACTATGATAAGACCGCCATGCCAGGCCGAGACCGCCCCCTACTGGACAAGACCGCCACACCAGGAAACTGCCCCACCAGGTGTCAGGTCTATACCACCATTCCAAGCTGCTGGAAGCCACCTTGTTGCTGGGCCTGGGCTGGGAGAAGATGCCTTCTGCTGAAGTCCTTAAAAGAAGGTAAGGTATCATAATAAATGGAAACATGTCCACACTATTTATACAAAAGCCTTCTCTTATTTTAATCCATTTCACACAGCCGACATATTTCTCTGTATCATTCTCCTTTGCACACTCACCCAACACATTTTATAGTGTAATTTATTTCATGAATTACTATGTGGTGGCGAACTTCACTTTGCCACAACAGTTTGGGTAGGTTTTTTTCACAAAGAACAGGGATGATGCTGAGTCTGAGTTGATAGGGATAGGAGTTGGATAGCAGAGTTTTGACATGGACAATCTCTAATGACTGGTGGTAAAGGAGTAAGGCATGGACAGTGTCCCCATTCTACAGACCTTGCTAAGAATTGTAGAATCAGAGAATTTTGCAGGACAGAAGGAGGCCATTCAAGCCATTGTGTCTGCATTGGCTCCCGAAAGAACTACTCAGCTAGTCCCACTTTCCAGCCCTTCTCTGTAGCCCTCTAACTTACAAGAACTGTTACAAGAAGTTGTAAGCATGGTTAGAAGTTTGACCTGCCATTTTGCAAACCTGCTGATCTCATCCTAAGGTGGTGGACGAGATCATTTTACCATTCCGACAATATCGTCCATGCCCGACTGGGCACACAAGTAGGCCTGCGCTGGCCTGGCATTGAAAGGTGAGAGTGAGACACTGCCCCTTATTGAGCTAATTATACTCTTAAAAATCCTCACCGTTTTGGTATAAATTGGTCAAAATTATTTATTTTCATTTCTTAATTTTGTTTTAAATGTCATGATTCGGCCACAGATGTTCCCCTGTTTACCTTTACCACCCATCTGGCGAAGCACAAAGGTTGAGCACCACAGCAATTGTAAAGTCTAATTCATTCCAGAAAGTATAAACCTGTGTTGCCGTTTTTTCTTCTAAAAAAAAATCACATCAGCTCCAGCTATCTGTGCACTGGGATATGTTCCTAATTTTGTTTTGCTTGTGGTCACCCTCAAGTTTCCTTGGCTCTGCTGATCAGTGTTTTCTTTTGACAACGGTCTTGGGAAAGATTCCTGCCCACTGAGTCACCAGAGATAAAATCAAAAACACTGAAAGCAGCTGAAGCTAAAACTCTCAGTTCCCCGCGCCTTGGAGCTCACAGGAGTTATCTTACTTCCATTGTCAGAAACGAAGTAAGTGTTACATCTTTGTTCTTTGAATACTTATTCGGTATATTTTGATTGTTACCATATAATAAAGCTAAAGTCTTAGTCTCGTGATAATGGTGAGCTGGGACTAATGTATTTCTCTCTTAATGTTGTGTTTACTAACAGAAGTTGTAAAATGCAGCGAGTCTCAGTTTGCGTGTGTTCCCTCTTGGTCTGTATCTTGTTGCTGGGCTGCAGTCGCGCGGTAAGTGAGCACAATGTGATGGGAAGTGGTTGCATGCTACACTTCTCGTTTCCGAGAGACTTCAAACTCAAGCGTGGCAATCGGAAAGCAAAATACACCGCTCACAACTTATTTATTGTATTTATTGGTTAGTCCATAAAACGTCTATGATACTAAAACGAAGTTGCGTTGCAAAACCTTCTCATAACACAGTGAGAGAATGTGAGTGAAAAAAAAAACTGGGCCAGATGTTTTCTATTGTATTTCTGACCTCGGCCTGCCTCCACCGCCTACACCCCCAACCTTCTCCCATCTCACAACTTATGTGAACTTTGCACTTGTTATAATCACTGATGGAGCTGCAGTGAATGATTCACTCCTGATAGCTTACTGCTTTCAGAAGCAGAACTGGCAAGAGAGCAACATTTCTGTTGAGGAATTGTAAGTACTTTGGGGGGAAACAGCTGCCCAAGTGTCAATTTTGTTTTAATGACCAAGTCACTGAAAGGAGCCAATCTGGTTTCAGCTCACGTTGCTGTGTTGTCTACTCCAGGCTGCTATTTTGACAGAAAATTGCATACATTCTGAGATATCTTATCAGTTTAGTACATTGATTCTGGCAATGCCCTTTTCTAAGTTCTAAAATTTTATTTTTCTTGGCAACATTTAGATCAGGAAAGGAATGGTAAATTAAGGTTGGAGAAACTCCCCGATGACTCTCACCTCAAATCGCCTTTTCCTGTTATACCGGGAGCCCATGTAATTACAAAGGGAGAACTTCGCAAAGTTAACATGAGGTTTACAGCTGTTTGATATTACATTTAAAAGTAGTAATATAGACAATTTAGATAAATATCCAAAGCATTGATAGAGACGAGAACATAGTATCAAACTGTTCATTCAAATTTTTGCATTTATGATCTATGAACAATTAATTCAAGATTCAGAATTAAAAGATGTTAGATTAATATAGCTGTGCAAAGTAGTTTGCTTATATCTATTTCAATTAAAATTAAATCTGAAGATAAAAACACATGACAAAGAATTTATTGTCCTTTATGGCACTTCCAAATTTTGATTTTGGAATGTAAGTGAACATGTTTTGTAGCACACATAAACACATTCCAGTTGTATTTTACCTGTAATGTGATGTGACATCACTTATGTTTCCAGATGTTAGCATAGTCTGCACTTCTTATGTCAGCACTGTTATTTCTGCATAAAGGTTGACTGATTTGGTAGTATAAACTAATGCAAACATCTGGTGCTGGTAGGAATTTAGTGCAAGAAAGCGGCCTTTGATTTAAAAGGAGTAGACAATGTTCCAGATTTAGCATCCAAAATATGTTTCCGTCTACTTGATAATTTCCTGTGGCAATTTGAGCACGGAAATATTTCAGAATTTTCTTGGGAGATTGTTTTGAAGGTGCATATTCTGAAGAGCTTATTTGATTCCACAGACACCAGTTGACTGTCAACAGGAACAAGAACGACTGAGAGCTCAGGTGAAAGCTCTGGAATTACAGATTAAAAGGCAGCAACTACAGATTCAGCAGCTCTTAAATGAAAGGGAAAATGTGCATGACACCAGTGCTTCAGAAGATGGTGCTACTAATGATCTCGGAGGAAGAAATCTCTTTGCAGGTCACACATAATTTAGTTTTAACCCTAACATTTCTACAAGCATGAAGTTACTTTGACAGTCACCAAGATGACAAAACACAAATGTTTAAAGTCACTGTGATTTTAAAAAAAACACAAACTTTGAAAAGAAACAAACAGAAAAATACTAGAAATGCACAAAGCAGTCAGAAAAGAATGAAAATACCAGTATGTTTTACATCAAGCTTGTCATCAGTTTACTAACATCTGGGCACAGAATTAGCAACCTGTTTAAAATTTCCTTGGGCCATCTAATTAAATTGTGTTTGAATTTGAAGACTCAATCAATACACTTTCTTTCCAAATATATTGAAACTCTTAAGTAAAATCCATTTATGAGTGAACATTCGTCTGTTACACATTGTAACATTACAGAACATTTAATTGAATAAGCTAGTTAATGCGTAAGAGATTTTTTAATTGTTGGCTGAGACATATAAGAACGAGGTGGTTACGTTGTATTTGTAATAATCACTGGTTAGATTAGAGCTAGAGGACTGCATACAGCATTAGTCACACACCTTATAGAAAGGATGTGATCACATAAGAAATTTATTATGGAAAAAAACCAAAAAACTGCAGATACTAGAAATCAGAAACAAAAACAGAAATTGCTGGGAAAGCTCAGCAGGTCTGGCAGCATCTGTGGAGAGAAAGCAGAGTTAGCTTTCTGAAGAAGAGTCAATGGACCTGAAGCGTTAACTCTGCTTTCTCTCCACAAATTTATAATGAAATTGCCAAGTCTGGAGAATGTTAGCTTGGATAGGTTGCAATTGTTTTGTTTGGAAAAGTGGAGACTGAGAGGTGAATAAAATTCTGATCAGCCTGGAGAGACTGGATTGAAAGGATCAACTCTCCCTAGCAAAGCAGTTAATAATAGGGGTATAGTGAAGGTTTAAAGGGAATTGAAAAAAAAATTACCTAGACCATTGTGAAGTCTGGAACTTACTGCCCGGGAGGTTGGTGATGGCAAAAACACTTGTTACATTTTTTTTAAAAACTGCTTTAATATGCTGTAATGTTCAAAGCTAGAATGCAGGAGTCACTGGAGCTCTTTTGCAGCAGACAGACACAATTGGTCAATGTTTCTCTGTTTCTAAATATTAACCTGCAACCTACTGTAAGTTGAAAGAATGAAAATGTTCCCACTGGACATTCTTAATACAAGTCAGATTGCATTTTCCCTCCATACTAACCAATATCTTCTTCTAAGATCTTCCAATATCTAAGTAACATCTTGCTCTGTAAGAGACATGGAGACTGGATTTAAAGCTTTTATCATAGCAATAAGAATTCAGCACATACATAAATAACATTAGATGCTAATTGTAGAGAAAGATTCAGTATTGAATGATACAAGGTATCAGACATAAGATAATGTAATGGAATGGTAGTGTAATGCTAGCGTTACTAAGAATAGTAATCCTGATACCCCAGACTGTTATTTTAAAGACACAAGTTCACCATAGGAGTTGGTGGAGTTCAAATTTAATCAATAACTCAATCTGGAATAAAAAGACTCCTAGTAATGACCATGAAACTACTCGACGGTTAGGAAAGAAAGTCTAGGATTCTCACAGACCCTGTCTTGCATGTACTCCAGACTCACAACAATGTACTGGATTCGCACTCACCTTTTGAAATTGGCTAGCAAGACAATTCATATCAAACTGTGTCAGAAAAGTCAAATAAGAATAAAGTTGTATGGAGCGCCTAGCATCAAACTATACACTGACAATGACAAATGCAAACACCTGCCCATTGCCCCCTGAAGAAGTGGTTTCAGACTGATATAGATAGGTTGAGTGAGTGGGCAAGAATCTGGCATATGGAGTAAATGTGGGAAAATCTGAAGTTTTTTTTAATTTGGCTGGAAAACTGAGCACCCAGTTATTACTTAAATTGAGAATGACTGTTGAGTTCTGAGATGCAGAGGAATTTAGGTGTTCTTGTGCTAAGTCACAAAAAGTTAGCATACAGGTATACATGTTACAAAAAGGCAAATAGGATGCTATTCTTCTATACAAGACAAATTTAACATAATTCTGAGAATGCTATGCTTCAATGATACAGGACATTGGTAAGGTTATATCTCAAATACTTTGCGGTGCTTTAGTCTCCTTATTTAAAAAAGATGTTAGTACATAAGAGGAAATTTCAGAGAGGTTTACAAGATTGATATCTGGATTGAGTAGATTATCTCATGAGGATCAGTTGGACAGATTGGACTTGTTTCTGCTGGAAGAATCACAGGTGACTTGTTTTAAGTGAATAAGATCCTGAATCGTCTTGACAAGGTGGACATGGAAAGATGTTTTCTCTTGTGGTGGAGTCCAGAATTCAGGTGCATTATTTTGAAATTTGGGGTCCTCTTCTCAGGACACAGGACAGGAGAATATTTTTCTCTCAGCAGATTGTGCAACTTCAAAACTCTCTGCCTCAGAATGTAGTGGAGGCAGGGTTATAAAATATTTTAAAGACAGAGACAGATTGATTCTTGTCAGGAAGGGGAATCAGGGTTATTGGGGTGTAGATGGGATGAGAAATTTGAAAATCAAATGGATCAGTCATGATGTAATTAAATGTCAGAACAAGCTTGAGGTTCAAATAGTCTACTTCTGCTCCCACTTTGTATTTTCACATGTACTTCCTACTCATTCTCATCATGTGGAATACCATTTGGAAGAAGAATTAAACATAGCATCATGACTGACTGAACTGGCCAAGCCCTGAAAGACATACCTGCCAGAATCTAGGCCAGCAGCAGGTGGGAAGAAAAAAATTGCTGCCCTCCCTATCACCGTTTACCTGTCCATTTTCCATGACAGACATGGAAGGAATGACCACTACATCATTCTTGTGCAGTCAAAGCCACTGTCTTCACACTGATGATACTGCCCATCACATTGTACGGCATTTCTTAAATGGTTCAGTCCTTCACTGTTACTAGGTCAAAATTCAGCTAGCCATGGGATCAATCCTGGTTTCAATGAGAAATGTAGGAAAGCATACCAGAGAAGTACCAGTAAAAGCCGGCAAAGCCACTGCACAGAATTACATGCATGCTAAACAGCAAAAGAAACATACAAACATAATCCTGGGATAGATCAAAGTTCTGCAGTTCAGCTACATCCAGTTGAGAATGGTGGTGGATAATTAAGTAACTGGAGGAGGAGATGCCAAAATCATCCCCATTCTTAATGAAGGCACATTAGTGCAAAAGATAATACTAAAGCCTTGGAACTACCTACCTCAAAAAGTGTCAATAGACATTCCATCTCAGCGTCATCCTGAAATCCCCTGCATTATAGATGCCAGTCTTTAACAATTTGATTGACTTTATGTAAATCAAGCCATGATGGAGGACATTGGATATTGCAAAGGCTGTGGGAGCTGATAGCATCCTAGTTGTGGTATGAAACATTGCAGAACTTCAACATTAGCTATGCCCTGAGGCAAGCTGTTCCAGTGCAACTATAACACAGCTATTTACCTGACAATGTTGAAACTTGCCTAGCTAGGTCTCCTGTCTACAAAAAGGAGGACCAATCAAATTCAGCAAATTACCACCTCATTACTTCTTTTCTGATCATCAGCAAAATGATGGATAGTGTAATTGACAGTGCAATTAACCAGGCCCAAGGAAGGAGGGTGCACAAGTTCAATCACCAGGGTCAGTATTTTTAACAGGACCCAGGTTTAACCAATCAGAACAAGGTCACCCCTACTCACCAGAAGAACAAAATTAGTGAGGAGTTTCTCTTCTGATCAAAGATTCTGTATCTCTCATTCTCCTCCTATCACAGGATATCTATCTCCCACATTTGCTGCTGCTAGGCTCAACTGAGACAGAACCAGCCTGCGATTGCAGCAGCAACTTGGAAGTTAAATTACGGTGGTGAGCCAGTCACTGGGTTTGCTGTTGGCTGGCTTGGGCCTTGGGGGTGCCCTGCATGGATCTAGGACTGAGAGGTTGCTGTTAGCTGAGTTCAGGGGTGCTGTCTGTACATGGATGGGGGCGAAGCTGGAAGGAGGAGGCTTCAAGGGGTGGTGGGGGGAAAGAAAGGAAGAGGCTGCAAGAGAGAAGGAGAAGAAGGAGGCTGCCATGTAGGAGAGAAGAAAGAACCTGCTCTGTGATACAGGAAGGGGAAGGAGGGGACTGGAAAGCGGCGGGCAGAGGAGGAGGCTGCAAAGAGAGAACTTTCAGCAGTGGAATACTCAACTACTTAGGGACCAGAAAAGGCTTGAAATCACTAAGGTAATTAATTGCTGGAAAAATAAATATGGAATCTCTAAACTAAAGCTGTATTAAATCAGGAGATCATATTTGTAGAAATATTTACTGGATGCTATTATAATTAGTCCTGTTTAATGTTAAATTTAATTCTACAGTTGAGACATGAGATGCAGTAAAAATATTGCAAGTGCCTGGTTAAAATATACCAAAGTTATGCACATGTGATGGAATGGCTTTATCTATGATCTCACTGGTTTGCAGAGGAGTGTTGAGGATGATGGTTTTATTTGTACAGAAGTATCTGTGAGTTATTTTGATAAAAAATATCTTGTTTGCTAATGCCTGTTGTCTTTGCCAATTTAAATATTGTGCTGTCTAGGAAATCAATGCTTTTTTGTGTTGTTCTAAGTTTAATAGAGGATTAATAATTGTTCTAATTTGGGTTTCTGTGTGAGTCAAGTACAGAAAACATTGTTATTATATGACTGCCTCACCAAAGAAATGAATTAGTGAGAGTGAAGCCCCTGCAAATCAAAAAGTAGCCTCCCCAGATTATAAGGATAATCTTATGAAGAGCACTCGATTCATGATTCTGTATAAAGCCATGTTGAAAGAATTGGTTGCATAATATGAATGACCATGTTGTATGCGATTGTCCAACAAAGAGATGATAAAGTTGGTCATACGAAACCCTGAGCTTTCAATGGGCATTATAAATAAAGGCTTGGAGTGAAAATGTAAAGATGTTTTGCTGAACTTATATGAACAGTTTGATTCCACTGTGACTGTGGAAGAATGCTATGGCTTTATAGAAGATTCAGAAGAGATTTTCTGGAATGCCTAAAGGAATGAGGGATTACACAGAAGCTGAGTTTGTTCTCTGAGCCAAGAGGTCTGTGTGGAGTTGCTGGAGGTGTATAAAATTATGAAGGGTTGAGATAGGGTAGAGGGGAGACACTCTTTCCAAAGGGTGAGGGATCGATAAACAGACGGACATTTGTTGATAAATGAGCCAAAGGCAACACATGGAAGAAATTTTACACAAGCAGTGATGATGTGGAGGTGCCAGCATTGGACTGAGTTGGACAAGGTCAAAAGTCACACGACACCAGGTTATAGGCCAACACGTTTATTTGAACACAGAAGCTATTGGAGCATTGCCCCTTCCTCACGTGTAATGAGAGAGGAAGTATCAAGACACAAAACTTATAAGTAAAAGATTAAAGGTTTATATAACTGATGTGAATATATTTAATAACCCTAACTTGGCCGGCTGACTCCATCCTGTTAAATCCTTAATCAGTTAGAAAGGAGATGCATGCTTCAATTGATTAATGTGCAACTATCGAATTTCTTTCAAGTCAATGTCCCGAGATAACTAAACGTTTTATCAATGAATGCAAGAGGTGACATCTCAGGTCAAACAATGCCTTCTGGTGTGAGATAACAAGGCATAGAGCTGGATGAACACAGCAGGCCAAGCAGCATCATAGGAGCAGGAAGGCTGACGGCACCTTCTGGTGTGAGGCCTTGTTTATAAACTGTCTGTGTTTTAATGTGGAGTCAGACTGGTTTTATTTCCCAATCAGAAATTCAGAAAATGCCCCACTGATGTCCACAAATTGTGTACTTCTTGAACAAGATAGAGTGTATCTGAAAATACAAATCTGCAAATGCAAATTCAACCCATAGATTTATAGGTCTGCATGTGCGCGTGCGCGGGTGTGTGTGTGTGCATGTATGCACATCTGAAAGAGAGAGAGAGTGTGTGTGTGTGTGTGTGAGAGAGAGAGATAGAGAGTGTTTAGTGTAGTGGGGTCACCTGTAGTGTGACATGAACCCAGGATCAAGGCTGAGGCTGTCCTCATGGGTACCACACCTGGCTATCAGCCTCTGCACAATGACTCTGTGTTATTGTGTATCCCGAAGTCCACCTTGGAGGACATTTACCTGAAGATCCAAGGCCAAATTCCCTTGACCGCTAAAATGTTCCCCCACTGGGGGAGAACATCCCTGTCTGGCAAACACAAAAGAAAATCGTTATAGTTGTTCAAGGACAATCATCTCAGCTCCAGGATATCTCTGCAGGAGTTCCTCAGGGGAATTCCCAGCATTTGCAACTGTCTTCTCAATGACCTTCTGCCCATCAGAAGATCAGAAATGAGAATTTCTGCTGTTGGTAGTACAATGTTTGGTATCATTTGCACTTCCTCAAATACCGAAACAGTTTTGCCCACATGCAGCAAGATCATCTACAAGACACAAGTCAGGAATGTGTTAATTTCCACATGCCTGGATGACTACAGCTCCATCAACACTCAAGAAGTTAACCAAGAGAAATCAGACTGCTTTATTGGCATTCCATGAACAACCTTAAAAATTAATTCCCCATCCCATGGAAGACAATGACTGCTGTCTGATTCATAAATGTCCTTCAGGGAACGAAGTTTGCCATCCTTACCTGGTTTGGTCTCCATGTGACTCCAGGTCTATAGCAAGAAAGCTGACTCTTAACTGCCGTCTGTTATGGCGCTAGCAAGTTACTCATTTCAAGGGCAATTAGGCATGGGCAACAAATGCTGGCCTTGACAGTGATGCCCACATCCCATGAAAGAATAACTTCTAGAAAAAAAATTAAATGTTGGTTTGTTCGCAATGCCCATATTCCATAAATGAATAAAGAAACAAATAAGGTACTTAGGCTTTTGAGCATGTATTATCTCAAACCACTGTAATCAGGTTCACACTGTAAACATTCCAGCCCTTTGCAGGTTATGCTCAATGGAGTTGTGATTAAGTAGATTATTACTTCCCTTTCAGGAATGAATCCTGTCTAATTCCCCCCACTGGGAGACTTTCTCTGCTCTTGCCACCCCTTCAACTCCAACTGTTCCAATTGTCTTTCCTGTTGCCTATTTTCTGTCCTTCTCCCTATTCCCCTATACTCATTCCTGTATCCTTCAACCTCCTCCTTGGCAGTAATGTTAACTGATGAAATTCTGAAATTTTATTTTTCATAAAGACTGTGCAGAGATCTACACCAGTGGGGCTAGATGGAGTAAGTTTTACAGAATTCAGCCATTGTCATCTCCCACAAGCTTCAAGGTGTACTGTGATATGACAGATGGTGGTGGCTGGACTGTCATCCAGAGACGGACTGATGGCAGTGAAAACTTTGACAGGTTTGGTATTATTTTAAACTAACAACATTACATACACATCTTTAACATGATTGAACAAATTTAATCTGATGCAAAAAAGATTTCAAAAGAATAAATAAATAATAAAATCTGCATTTGATCACTGTATTCAATGAATGGAGGACAATGCTCATAATCCTGCTGAATCTAACCTTTAGAAAAAAACTCAAATACCATTGACCCTTCCTTTGGTAGAAGCTTTCAAAATTCTTTCCGTAATTATGACAATTCAATTTTCCATCAAAACTTGCTTCAACCTGATGTTGCTGTTCTCAGAAATTGACGTTTGCATCTGTTACTAAACACTCTCGATCTTTCATAGTTCATAGGAGTAAATTTTTTCTTACAATGTGTTGCTTTGACATAGCAACCTCTTGAACAAATTACAACTGTTTTTGTGAAAAGGATGTAAGCATTTGAAATTTACTGAAAATTTAACTGACATTAAAATTCAGTACTCAAAACATAGGACTGGATTTCATGGGTCCCTTGTGATAGAAACTTACTCTGAAGAGTCAGACAAGGGTCTTCTTACTGACAGAACCACATTGACAGAACCTCCTCACACAGAGAGCTAGCTGCCCTGTGGTAATGTAATGGTTGTCATCTGGAGGAAGTCTTGCCTCAGAGTTGACATTCTAATTGGTCAGCAGCAGCGCTAAAGATCCATCAATGACAGTGTTACTACATGAAGAAGAGGAACTAATGCAGGCTAGACTATGGCTAATTCCTGGGTATCACCAGGGAGAAGGCGGCAGACTCAAAGGGATGAGGAGGATAGGGTACTCAGTTTGAAAGGCTTGGAGAGGGTATGTTAAGTAGGGGAGGGGGGTGCGTGCAATTCCCCAAGGATTCCCTCATCCAACACCAGCCATGCAATAAAAACTGCTGGGTTATCCACTTAGATTTGATCCCCTCCTGCAATGAGAAAGGAAACAACAGAGTGGGATGAGGCATTTAATTGGCCATGAATTAACCACAAAACGGTTGATGCATCCACAAGTCCTATAAAATACATCAGGTTCTGGTTGGACAGGCATTGAGCAGGCATGGACATGTACTGCATTTTACACGCCACCTTGTCTTCAAACACACTGGTAAGGAATGTAATATCAACCCATAGAATCGCTTGTTAACTTGCACAAAATTACTTTTCATTGAAGTGTAACAATTCAACAATTGAAATCTCTACAAAGATATAACTTCTGTGGATTTTGTAGCAGATATTGCAATGGGAAAATCCTCTGCCAAATAATTAGAGCTTTTAATAATAAAAAGCGTGACACACTATTACCTTTCACTTCCACACTATTGGTATGATATGAGATGTGTGCTTTATGACGGAAAGTCATAAATAAATGAAGAACACTTTGCTGAACACTAAACAAATGTTGTCTGATTTGATCTTAAAGAATATCATTCATCCATTCTTATCAATGTCTGTTTGAAGGTAAGCCATTCAAATTTATCCTGCTGAACTCCAATCATCATGTGAATAGTGCAATTCCTTAATAATTGCTGGGTCAAAATCCTGGAACGCTCTAACCAATAGCACTGTGAATGTAGCTTTATCACACGGACCACAGAAATTCACGAAGGTAGTTCACTGTCATCAGCACCTTCTCCAAGCCAATTAAAAGTGGCAACAGTGCCACATCCTGTAAATATAAGACTATTTATGAAAAAGGTGCCTCTGAAACTGGCAGTTACACATAATGGATTCTTGGAGATTAGAAATAAAAAAAACATGCAGACCACTGTGATCTGTCAAGTCAACCCCAGTGAAAATATACATCTTAATTTATGTAGTAAATGGTGGGGTTTCAACCCGTGAAATATATATTATTTATACTGAAGAAATAACTCAATAAAAACAGGTGACTCTACACATTTGATTGTTTAATCTGCCGGTGAATCTGCGTTAGGCATTACTATTGGCCCTTAGAATGGCAAAAGTCAAAATGGCCAATTAAAATTCTCTTTTACGGGTGTATTGGCATTTTTAAATGCACTGGCATTAATTACTTTGTTTACTTTAAAGTATCAATTGATGTGAAAGCATCAGCCAAGTTTAATGATTGTACCGGTACATTTGAATCAGCTTCTAGATTTGAAAATGCTTCTAGATAATTGCTCCTAACATTGAAAACTTGAAGAAATTAACAAAAATAAATGCATACTTTTTTTCCAATGTTTTTTAATAATTAATTTTTATAGAACGCTTGAGTCACCTTCTAAGCCAAATAGTTGACACCTAAAATTAAAATATTTATGTTTGGCTGCTTTATTTTCATCAGAAAGTGTTCATCATTGCCACCAGTGAAGCTCCTTGCAACACAACCCTGCAGCACTCTTGAAGATAGCAATCTGCTACACTCCGCTCAACTTCCCCCCCCAACCTCTGTAGCTGCAATTAAAGGGGCACTGTAAATAGCCCAGAATTGTAAACAAACCCCCGAGTCCCAATGTTTATTCTCCAAATTCCCACCTCCCTTACGAAAATTGTATTTACATTCCCAAGCCTATGATTTTTAAAAATGTGTGCATTTTTTCTAGGATGTTACTTTTCCAGGTAATTATTCAGTTGATGAGGTGTTTCCATTTCTAATGAATTATGGATATTCAGGATGATGAATAATGGATGTTGGTGTATATTTAATAATGGATTTGCTTAGATCAAATTAATAATACATGCATATTCTTGTCAAGGTGGAAGAAATCCAAGACCATCAATAGCAATTGAGCTCATCAGCATTTGGTTACATAATCATGCTTTGTACTAAATAATTTTTCACAATTTACTTCAGGTTTGGTTTATGGTCCTCAGCATTAGATTTTAGAGAAATCAATCAATGCCGTTTTAAAGTATCCTCAGATGAGGAGTCCATCAATGGCTTCCATTCCTGGATACTTCATTCTTATACATACTTATGTATTTACTTCTCAAAAAAATGAAATATAATACATTGCTTCTTTTTTAAATCAAGAGTCTGGTCTGATTACAAGGATGGCTTTGGAAACTTTCAATCTGCCAATGGAGAACATTGGATTGGAAATGATAACTTGAATCACCTTACATCACAGGGTAAGTATTCCAATATCTTTGTATATAATGAGCTGTACTATTTTCTAGCTGAAACATAAATTGATCTGAAATAACAAGGTGTAGAGCTGGATGAACGGAGCAGGCCAAG